GATTTCAAATTTCATAGATAAATCTATAGCACAGTCAATTTCCAAACTCGGAAAACAGTTTGCCTGCAGCGCATGCGTTGAGCCGAATGGACATGACCTGACAAATCATGACTCTTGGATCTTGCTCCCTTGGGGGGTCCCACTTTGGTCAGACCAAACCACAAATCAAAGGTGCTCCAAAATTATTGAAAACCCATGTTCATTATTTCTGTTCTCAATTTTCACCCATGGCCCATGGTTTTTGAATATTCTGCAAGTAGATGCTCTGGGCCGAACTGATTCCCCAAATGCGTTCTTGACAACCCATTTCCAAAAAATGGCCATGGTTTCTCAATGCACACGTTCTAAGGCAGCGGCATCATAATTATCCAGTTTATTTGTGTTGAAATATCTTGGTCCGGCCGACAGGTGAACCAAATGGACAGGATGTTTCTTCTGGATGATTTTGACCAACTAAACTTTTCATACTGTGATCATCCCAAATAAACAAATCAAACAGCAAAGCAAACTCCAAGCTAAATATGCATGCCCTTAATAATCTGCAAACATGAGTGCTCTGCTATCTTGCTGCATATGTTTGTTTCTCTAATTTGCCACTAACTGTTTCTTTGCAAAAAACTGTCAACCCATGGAGACGAATTCCCTGAATTTTTGGGCCGCCCTGCCCCCCCCCTCCGGCAAGGTTCAGCCAAAGGATGATACAAAATCAACAACATCAATCATGTCAATCACTGACAGTTACACATTGTGGCATTGCTGCTGCACAGCACAAAGAGATCTTGAAGTCTGCACAGCAACTTCAAGTCTACTTGGTATTTGAGCCACCGTAGCGATGCAGGAGATTAAATAGAGGAACATTTTTATAGGACCCAACAAAAATACACAGAAATAATCAAAAATAACCTAATTGAAATCATTTACCATCACCAACCACATGATTCCACATGCACAAATGAGTCCTGGATACCCATAGATACCCCTTGGGCCTCCTCGAAAGGATTGACACTCCTGTCGCTGCCAGTGATGGGTACAAGGATAAACCGATAAAACATATGGTTTTCGGATCCCAATGTTGAGACAATCCCTACATATCCTCTACATGCTCTTCGCTTGTCATGGAAGGATTTTGATTTTCCTCTCTCTGAGCACATTGAAAATAGATTGAAAATAGCAAATCATCGTGAATCAAGATCCACATGGCCTATTCATCTATTGTAGATACCGCTGTGTGCCTGTTGGCATGAGATTTATTTGCAACATACCTCCACGTTTCCCAAATAATTTGACATAACTTGACCCATGCGCATCCATGCACCCACCATTTAGTCAAGGGAACTTTTTTCAAGGTGCAAAGATGTGCAAAGCTTGCCACTTGTCAAGCAGCCCAGAAGCCCCCAACTAAATCATACAAAATCGGCAAATCATCCCTTCATGGCTGCTTTTTCATGGCTTCCATGAACCCATAGAACTCCGGTTCCACATCATTCCCTCAGATCAGGGGGATGAAGATCCTGGCCCTTCGCCCCATCTCCTGCATGGAGCGCAGGTCCCACAACTTCACCTGGCCGTCCAAGGCGGCGCTGTAAAAGACGTCCATGGAGGCCGCAGGAGCCGCAGCGTGGGGCCTTGGCCGAGGTTCGAGAAACCACAGCTTTGATCGTTCTTAATACGAGGTCTATGGTAGAACATGTGATTAACTGTTACCCATAGGATCCATGTCTGGTATATATGCTAACATTTGGGGTATACATGGATCCTATGGGTTATGATTCATCTTGTTAATCATAAGAAGATCTGTGTGAAAGGGTATTGTGAAATCAAGGTTTGTGGTTTGTAGTAAATTTACCAATTATCTAGTATGATTTTACTTTTCTATACTCTTCTACCTTTTTGGGGATGTAAACAATCTCAAGCTTGGCCAGTCTTGTCGAAGACTTGGGGAGATATGCCGGACATGTGATGATGTGGTATAGATCTATCTATCTATCTATCTATATCATTTAATGTGGGTAAAACATTGTAAAACAATAATAAATCATCCCAAAATAAATGACAGTTTTTATGTGGTAAACATACTATTCCCAGTCATGGGTGGTGCCAATGGCATTGTTTTACCCACATGACATATATAGATATCTTTGGGATATTTTAAGCGACGCTGTGCCCACTGGATCCCACTGGGTGCGTCCCACTGCGCCAGACGCAGGCAGGTCAGCGGTCGCGCATGAGCATTCACTGCGGCCAAGACCTTGCAGCGTTGACGGCGGGCCCGACCTCCGGGGGAAATCCTCAGGAGACTCCAGACCCGAACCAGTGAACCAACGCTCAGCAAACTGGAAAACCACCATCGAACTGGTAACAGATTCTATGCATTATTAGGCAAAATGGCCATTTTCCATAGCTATGTCAGTTTACTGGAAGGTATATAATACTCTCACTGATTGGTTAATATGAGAAATATGATAAAGTGAAATTAAACACCGTTAGACACCCCCACTCTGCGGGGGGTGTTTAATATTGGGGCGAACGGATTACTGCAGCCAAATTTCAGAAAGATATTGGAATGAAAGTTGATGTAGAATCAGAATCGTTTTCCAATAAGAATTGGGCACCAGTGTTTTTTAAAAATAGGTGTTGCTTTTATATGGGTAAATCAGGGTCAATCAACTAGAAATGGGAAATGATGTTTCGGGATGCAGTGAAATTAGGTTATCCAATGGTGAGGAAATAAGGCTTGATCCTGATCGCTATGGCAGTCGCAGTCATAACTTGAAGAAAAGGTAGCAGGATCTTGAGAATTTGACCCTCGATTTTTTGCGGCAACCTCGGTACGGTATGTGTCCAGTAATCCCTTCGGGTGTCCGTGGTGAGCAAACAAACATCTGTGTACATGTGCCGAGTGCATGCGGCATGTCTCTGAAGATTTAAAACTGAAATGACATTGACATCATATTCAAAATTAGAAGTATTATGCAACGATAAAATCAGAGTATGAAGGACCCCCCATCCCTTGTTGCAGGCAAATAAACAACACAAACGAATAAATAAATATATATGTGGCAAACAACGCTAAATATTAAGTATGAAGCATCTGAATACCATACAGAAACACCCTAATATTAAATAATTTATCCATCAGCTTCTTTGTTTCTAACTTCTGACTCAACTGGTGAGAAACAGGAAAAGAACATTGTGCCTTTTCAGCTGCCACGTCCCACACATAGACGCGCTTGTTGGAGGAGGCCACCTCAATGGCTGGGTAGTGGGATACGCGTATGCTATGTGAACTAAATTCTTGGTGGATGCTAAACTAAACCCTTGGTTCACGAGTAATTCTTTGGTTCCATTAGTTGCACTATTTACTTTAGTCTTGGAGCCAAATGCCCAACTACCCAGAATGGTGGTTCATGGTTACCGCAGTTGGTTGGGTTACTAAGTTACATGACTGGTTTCTGCAGGATTATGTGCCAACCCAATATTGGGGGACCCCAAATGACCCCTATGAACCAACTAAATGGTAGGTTCCAACATTGACAAAGGTGAATGGGGGCACTGCTAAAAATTCTAACCACCCGTCAAACAACACATGCAAGGACACATTGATCCCAAAACACCAGTTGTTCAAATCACTGTTGGCTTTTGGTTACCAACTGCTCCAAACAACTTACGGTTCTGTTCACATATAGGAGCAACGCAACAGCAGCCAGAAATTGGTATGGCGCATACGGTCAAATTTCAATATCGAAAACTGCAGCTTTTGGTCATGTTTGATCCCCATTCTCCTTTGTTGGGCATACCCTCTGGTAAACTAACATAACTATGGAAAATCACCATTTTTAATGGGAAAATCCACTATAAATCACCATTTTCAATAGCTTTTTGTATGTTTACCAGAGGGTAAATCATCACCTTTTTGACCAAGTCCCTCCCAGAAATCTGAGTTGTTGCGCCAAGACGGTGCCCGAGAGTACTGCCTTGGCTCCAAGATCCGAAGGCGCGATCCGAATCCACGTGAATCGGATGAATGACATGTTAATAATATGTTTCATATCCTATGTCAATATAATTCAATGTATATACATATATATATATTAATATAATTATATATATATACTGCACTTCAAGGTGAGAGCAAAATCATCAACGCATCGAGGATTCGAGGATAACCGAGGCTATTGAGTTTTGTTTGGTTTTTGACTCAGTATCCTTTGACGTTTTTTTTCGAGATTCCAAAAAAAATGTATGGTTCCACATGACACCGAACCCACTTCGATGCTTTTAGTTGTTGGGGTGTATCCTCACACATCCTGTATTAAAAAAAAATGTATGCCTTACTTGCCAGCGACCTAGCTAATAGTGGCAACATCCCTAAGAATACAATGGGAATATCGAATTACACGCAGTCAATGTTGCTGGAAACTGTTGGATGCACGGCCTTGCCTAAAGCTGATGCATGCGAGTTCGTCCAACATTAGGGTATCCTTAACATCCAAGGATCATCATGTTCCATAGTTCCATGTAGACATTGCGACATGGCCATTTGGCATCGGCAGGCGATACAAGAATGTATTGGAGGAATCAGGAACAACACTTAGGCATATTTAGGCATGTGATATCAGAGATACCGATCCCACCATCAATCCACATCACCACTGTTGTAGCCTTTTTGTGCTTCAATGACAGCGCCCCTGTACAAATGCCGATCTCCATTTTCGAGAGGACATCATTCACGGGCTGCTCAGTGACAGCTCCACATGCCCAAAACTCTCGTCTGGAACCAACGAAAAATGCTTGCTTTGAAGATGTTCAAACAAAAAATTGTCCAGTGGAAATTGCCATTCTGATGGTTGCACCTCAGATTTCAAACTCTCTAGCAACGATGTCCTTCTGAAAAGAACCAAGGGGTCAGTTACAGTCTTTTGACCGTGAACTCGTGGTGTAAGCCTCTTTTTTGAGCAAGCAGCTGAGGAATTTGGGACATCTGTCCGATCTGTCCTCTGCTACTCGCGCAGGAGGTTGTACAAATGATGGAAGGCATTGGGAGCTTCATCAGCGTCAGCGTCATCGCCTTCACCTTGGAAGCGCATGGAAGCGCCAAACGGGCCATCAGGTGGGAAAAAGTACAACAAATCCCAATGTCTGGTGGGAATCTTACTAACAAATGGAACGGCAAAAATGCAAGGAAAAAACCAATTGGATTCATTGAGATATTCTGTGTGTCATAAATAGGATAAACGACAGTTTGCGAACTGGAAGCCACAGTCCATTTATTTAGTTCGATGATTTACCTGTAAAAACTGTGATTTTCCACAGCAAACTGCTAATAAATTAACAGGTAGTACCTTTTATACCCATAGTATACAAATTCTATATAAATCTTATCTGCAGTGTACCACCATGTTTGCCGGTATAACTTTGTTCGTTACTAACGGTTTTTCCGTGACGCTTGATGATCACAATCACGTAAAATCCAAATGGATCGATTGGTGAATGACCAGGTCGGTTTATTCTTCAGTCCGGACATGAATAAGACTTCGTTGACTTTCCATGACTTTCCTTAATTGACCTTACTGTACTAGTACTTCATGAAAATGACGACGTCAGTGATTTAATGGGCCTTGGAGTCAATAAAGTCATCATGAATTAAAGTCATCACTCACTGATTTGTTCACCATTCTCCGGTTAGAACATGGCTCTAATTCATTTTGTTTACCCTATTAACTGGCATTAACTGGTATTAACTGGTATTAGCTGGTATTAAGTGGTAATGGCCAATGTTTTCACCCTTCTCATTTCCAGGTGACGCTCACAGGGCCCATAGCGCAATTCAAAGAGATGCCGTGCGGGCGCCACAGGTGCGCCATGTTCGATCAACGCTTGGGCGATGGAAACCAGCCTAGAAAGGGGGGCCAAGTTCAATGGATTGGATTGGTTTAAGGGACATGTTGCAGGAAACCATGGTATGTTTCGTTCAACATAGGGATTTGCTGCAGATTTTCCCTTAAGAACCAATTCTGGGATATAGTAAGTTGGTGCACATAACTCCAATAGAACTATGGTCTATTATACTTACGACATGTTATAACTATATAGTTAATGGGGTTTATATAAACCAACTTATAGTTGGTCTACTTTGGGGGAAAGAAACGTTGTCCACCAAAGAATACTATTGATCACAGGTGCACTGTAGGTGTTGTATATTTGACTAGTTGCAGTAATATATTCAACATCAATATTTACAGACATATTTTATTCAAGATTATTGTCCAAGTGTCCATCCATCTGTCCATGTATCTATGTCTATCCATCCGTCCATCTATCTACCATCCTCAAAAAAGGCGCCTCATTCGTGTCGTCTCATCCAGCATACAATCTGATAGACCTCGGAAGGGCACTTGATATTACACAATATCATATATTCACATGTGGGTGGTGTATTTGCAGTCAGGGTGGGGCCAAAAAATCCAATTTGTGAAAACACAGTGAAAAAACAACCAATATATTAATAATACTCATACCTCCCAAGCTCTTAGACATTTTCTGTCTGGTGTAGAGCGATGACATGACTGTAAACGTACCGCCCGGGAAGCCAAACCAATGCCCCGATGAACTTCAAGATCCCCAAGAAGGGGAGCAATCTCATCCCTTTACAGCCCTTGGATTTGCAAAAATAGTGGTTATTGCAGGATACCACGCATCCCTACCAAAAACTAAATCCGGGAGAACCGTTCACTAGTCAATTTCCCCACGACAGTTCGACTAAAAGCGGATCAACAAAACAATGATCGCTTAAACAAACAGGCTATCCCAACCTTCTATATACTTAATGTATAATTATATTTTAGATCTGGATGAATTTTAAAACATTTTAAAACCAACGCGTACATATACATCCCGTCGGGGGGAAACCGCGCCAGCGTTTTGAGCGTTTTGAAAAAATGTCGCTTTCGACATAGCGAAACTACCGATTCATTCCCAAAAATCGGCTTAAAAATCCCCGGGATTTTGAAGTTGTTTTTTGATGATGACCTGTAATTTACAGGGAAGTTGTTCCTGAAAGGTGCGCGGTGTTTTTTTCCACCTTACATCGCCATACGGTTCTTCAAGGCGATACCAGTGAGCTCCAAAAGACTTTTGGTCTTGGAGTTCATCCAACGCCATTGCCACACCCTGATGCTTCGCATCAATTTCGGGTTAACATGGCCGTTGGATCTGGTCGAGAGATTGCATGGTATGGCGGACTTTGATAGTCGCCACATCGCAGTGACGCAAGTTGACATGAACGTTAACATCCCCACCCCCCCAACCCAGTGACGTAACGTCAGATGTGCATGTGACGCAAGTTAACATGAACCTTAACATCCCCATCCCCCCGACCCAGTGACGTAACGTACGTGTAAGTGAGCATGAACGTTAACATCCCCATCCCCCCAACCCAGTGACGTAACGTATGATGTGCATGTGACGCAAGTTAACATGAACGTTAGCATCCCCAACCCCCCAAACCCGGTGACGTAACGTCAGATGTGCATGTGACGCAAGTTAACATGAACGTTAACATCCCCACTCCCCCAACCCAGCGATGTAATGTACGATGTGCATGTGACGGATAAAAAAGGTGTGTTTTCAAAAACGGTCAAAACGCTGGCGCAGTTTTCCCCCCGCTGGCATATACATGCATAGACGCACACATTTAATGTGTTTTTTCCAGCATGTTTATTGTTGTTTTCTAATGTCGTCTATTTATTGACTGGCTATTAAAAAAAGGTCCAAAGATGAATTCATGCCCCCCCATTTCTTCAGGTCTAACATGGTCTAACTGATGACTTTTGTCGAAACCCACCATGTTTTCACCGCGAGGTCACGGAAGACCGCCATCTTCAACGGACTCGTCGGCTGGTTCGGTGCCTCCTCCGGCACCGCGCGGCCGTCGCCGCGGTAGGCGGCGCGGAAAAGACAGGGGCCGGCATTGGCGTCGCGCAGGAGCAGCGGCCGGGAGCAGTCCTTGGATATATATAATATGGCAAGATATATGGTAAGATGGTTTATGAGTAGGCTAACAATAAGGATCTATAAATCTATGCATTATATAGTTGGTGGGTTTTAACAAACCATACTAGGGGGGTCCCACCTTGCAAGTGGGGTAATGTCGGGGATGGTTTGTGGTCTCAATAATTTGGGAAAGTTTGGGTCTGCCATGGCTTATCACTACCATACAATATATTTAGGTTCATGATGCATGAATTATGCATGGTTGTTCAAACCATAGTTCTCACCGAATCATCACCAAAAAACACATAGCTCACGTAATTGCACTTTTTTAAAAATCAATTTTCAATCGCTAAGAAAATATCAGGGCCTCCTAGCTATGATCCCCCTCCCCATTCTTATTAAACATCACCATTTTATGGTCCCAATGAAGTGGAAATCCTTCACTACACATCACTAAACAAAACTAAACCATAGTATATGTATCACTAAACCATGGTTTATATATATATATCACTATAAATCCCACAGTAAACCATCATTTAAGTGGAAATCCCCCAGTAAATTAAACCATGTTCTTTTATCGGGGTGCCAATTCATTATGTGAAGCTGTGCAGGAGTTTTAGAGCGGTCTAACTTTTGTGCATAGGCCTCAGGCTTTAAAATGCACAAAAACAATGAAAATTGGCTCTGCAATAAAATGCCTTGCCACCAAATTCATGCTTGAATGTGCATCCAACATCATCCAATTTCATCCAATTTTGAAGACCCTCAGAAACGCATCTTTAAAAAGAGGTCAGGAAATCCATTTTAGATAGGGGTATTTTAGAGTGAAGGTGCCCAAATATTTAGTGTGTTTTTTTTTAAATAGCATTCTATAGCAACAAAATACGGTGGCATTCTTTCGTGACAATTCCTTAAAATTCCTTCAAAATCCTTTAAATTCCTTAGAATTCCAAAAAATCCTTGAAATTCCTTAAATATCCTTTAAATTTTAAAAACATTAAAAGATCCTTAAAAATCCTCCAAAATCCTTCAAATTCCGTCAAATTCCTTTAAAATCCTTAAAATTCCTCTAAGATTCCTTAAAATTCCTTAAAACTCTCTAAATTCCTTAAATTTCCTTATAATTCCTTTAAAATTCCTTAATACTCCTTATAATTTAATTCCTTTGAAATTCCTTAATATTCCTTAAAATTCCTTAGAATTCCTTCAAATTCCTTCAAATTCGCTGATCTAAAATGACATGCCCAATAAAATCGATATAAAAAGATCCTGGAAAAACACTGGTTCCATTCTGCAATAAAATGCTCCAAGCAAACATTCTTTTGCAATAAAATGAGAATGGAATTTTAACATGTTAAAAATCATCAGGATTTACCTTTACAATAAAATGCTTAGCCCAACCCCCCAACAATAAAATGACTAGCCTAACATCAATTTTAAAATTCCAATGCATTAAAAAAATCGTTTAAACTATGCACAGGTTCACCAGTTCTAGAGTGGAAATTGCCACGGGGATGTTCTTTTAATATATCACCGAGGCACCGCATCAGCACCCGCCTCCAGCGCTTCCAGCACCCGCGCCTCGTCCAGCGCCTCAACGCTCTGCAGCAGCTCGGCGTCCAGGTCCTGATCGCCATGGCTGGCGCGCTGCCTGGGGACCGTGGGGCCCGTGGGGAGGCCATGGCGACTGAAAGGTGGTAAGTCCAGTGGTAAGTTTATGGTGGTTTTATCAAGTGGAATTTCGATGACAACAAAGAGTATTATATTATATGTGTTTCTTGATTTTGTTTGTCCCATTTGCATCCATGGATGATCACAGCAACCGTAGTAACCAGTAAACATTGGGATCTCACCTGCACTAAAAGGCAAGGGTTGGTGAGCCTATAATCCATCATCCACCGTCAAGTTCCTACAATCATCTAAAAGATTTTCAAGAACCCCTTGAAATTTGACAACCCATGTTGATGGTCTGAAATCCCAGGGCCAAGAGATTTAAGGTTGATGATGAGCGATTGAATCCAATTTCAGCTCAAGCCATCAGTGGCTTACACAAGGATACACGAGGCAGTTTGTTCTGGTTGGTGCTTGCTGAAGGACAAGAAAAAAACAAATAACTCTTGCTCCGAGACTTAGGTGGCAAACAACCTGATGAATTACTTTAAAGCTTGCAATCATTATCAGTGCCGGAGCGTGAGAGACCCACTTTTTCTAGATAATCAATAGGTGTTTCAATAAGTTTTCAAAGGTCAAACTCTGGTGGTTATCAATCCAGTAGCTCCTGATATTTCTTGATAATTCTCAAAAATCATCTTATCAAATTCTCAGCTACTCATCAGCTTCTCATCTAAGAAATCACCTGAAAAAATTGGGCTCCTGGGCTCTTCCCATTCCCGAAAATCAGGTTGGGAAATTGCTCACCTCGAAAAAGAAATATGATCATTGGATTGCATAAAACACAACAACATTATAATGGCAATGTATCATGTATTAATATGCATTGTATAATGTATTAATATGCATTGTATAATGTATTAATATGCATTGTCTAATGTACTAATATGCATTGTATAATGTATTAGTATGCATTGTATAATGTATTATTATGCATTGTATAATGTATTAATATGCATTGTATAATGTATTAATATGCACTGTATAATGTATTTATATGCATTGTATAATGTATCAACATGCATTGTATAATGTATTAATATGCATTGTATAATGTATTAATATGCATTGTATAAAGTATTAATATGCATTGTACAATGTCTTAATACGCATTGTAAAATGTATTAATATGCATTGTAAAATGTATTAATAGGCCTTGTATAATGTATTAATATGCATTGTCTAATGTATCAATATGCAATGTACAATGTATTAATATGCATTGTCTAATGTACTAATATGCATTGTATAATGTATTAATATGCATTGTATAAAGTATAAATATGCATTGTATAATGTATTAATATGCATTGTATAATGTATTAATATGCATTGTAAAATGTATTAATAGGCCTTGTATAATGTATTAATATGCATTGTCTAATGTACTAATATGCATTGTATAATGTATTAATATGCATTATGTAAAGTGGTTATATGCATTGTATAATATGTTAATATGCATTGTATAATGTATTAATATGCACTGTATAATGTATTAATATGCATTGTATAATGTATTAATATGCATTGTATCATGTATTAATATGCATTGTATCATGTATTTACATGCATTGTATAATGTATTAATATGCATTGTATAATGTATTAATACGCATTGTAAAATGTATTAATATGCATTGTATAATGTATTAATATGCATTGTAAAATGTATTAATAAGCATTGTAAAATGTATTAATATGCATTGTATAAAGTATTAATATGCATTGTACAATGTATTAATACGCATTGTAAAATGTATTAATATGCATTGTAAAATGTATTAATAGGCCTTGTATAATGTATTTATATGCATTGTCTAATGTATCAATATGCAATGTACAATGTATTAATATGCATTGTCTAATGTACTAATATGCATTGTATAATGTATTAATATGCATTGTATAATGTATTAATATGCATTGTATAATGTATTAATATGCATTGTATAATTTAAGTTGAACGTTCCGGCCTGTGTCTGAAAGTTGCACTGGAACAGCCAGAAACGAGAAAACCTACAAAAAACTATGATTTTGCAAAATTGATGAAACGACAAAAGTGATAAAAACGATGGTTTTTGCAAAACCAATGAAACACAAAAAGTTGAAAAAACAATGGTTTTTGCAAAATCATGAAAACATCAAAAACTGTACCTATCTCCTCCCGGCAGCGATGCCCGGCAACAACAGTGAACCAAAGACATGGGAGAATATAAGGCTGAAAAGCAGCAATTCCAGACTATGGTACCAACATGCAAAGAACACCGGAATTTGTTTTGTGCGGAAATCTAGCTGTATCCACATGAATTGGAAACACTTGCTTGCAAAAAATCAAGAATTTGTTGGGCAAGTCGAAACACAAAAAGGCAGCGAAGTTTGCAGCAGTGATTTCAACAACGCATGTAGAGTCTTTGGTGCCGATTTGTCAATCGAAATATGCAGCACAATTTCGTCGGAGAAGAGGATTAACTTTGGAGATACAGATTTCCACTTTCCCTGCTCTTCCGCGGACACCTTCTGCCATAAACACAGCCTAAAATGTCAAGAATATCAATATCTACATGTGCACATAGTACGCATAGTGCCCACAGCCAATTTTGGAGCGCCCATAGTGCCCACAGCCATTTTTGGAAAACTGGAAATTTTCCAAAATTCACCTTTTTTGAACCGTTTGGCATCACGCCCATAGCGCCCATAGTGCCCACAGCCAATTTTGAAAAACTGGAAATTTTCCAAATTTCACCTTTTTTGAACCGTTTGGCATCACGCCCATAGCGCCCATAGTGCCCACAGCCAATTTTGAAAAACTGGAATTTTTCCAAATTTCACCTTTTTTGAACCGTTTGGCATCACGCCCATAGCGCCCATAGTGCCCACAGCCAATTTTGAAAAACTGGAAATTTTCCAAATTTCACCTTTTTTGAACCGTTTGGCATTACGCCCATAGCGCCCATAGTGCCCACAGCCAATTTTGAAAAACTGGACATTTTCCAAATTTCACCTTTTTTGAACCTTTTGGCATGACGCCCATAGCGCCCATAGTGCCCACAGCCAATTTTGAAAGACTGCGCATTTTCCAAATTTTACCTTTTTTCAGCCTTTTGGCATAGCGCCGATAGCGCCCATAGTGCCCACAGCCAATTTTGAAAAAATGGAAATTTTCCAAATTTCACCTTTTTTGAACCTTTTGGCATAGCGCCGATAGCGCCCATAGTGCCCACAGCCAATTTTGGAAAACCGTGTTTTTTCCAAATTCCAACTTTTTTCAACCTTTTGGCATAGTGCCCATAGCGCCCATAGTGCCCACATCCATTTTTGGAAAACTGTGAATTTTCCAAATTTCACCTTTTTTGAACCTTTTGGCATGACGCCCATAGCGCCCATAGTGCCCACAGCCAATTTTGAAAGACTGCGCATTTTCCAAATTTTACCTTTTTTCAGCCTTTTGGCATGGCATAGTGCCTATAGAAGCGATTCCAACGTGTCCAATAGTTTCTGAGGAGTCTGAAGGCACGCATCTTTCACTGCTTTTGATTGCACCTTAAAATTGCCCAGGTAGAAAACCAGTAAAATCCAACAACATTGCCTTGCAGCCTTTCTCATTGCGTCACAAAGCCTCACGGAGGTTTTTGCGGAACCATTTTTTTACAATAAGGCAAAAAATGCGTTTTTATGCGTTTCTGATCGGACCACTTAGTGCCAAAAATGATTTAATAAAAAACCATAATAATTAAAGTGAATCAGGTAATTTGCAGCATTTCAAGTAGCGCTACATAGTCTACGTAGTGTCGCAAAGGATTTGGAAAAACACCTTATATTTGACAAGCCCGCAGAATATAGCATTCCTGGTAACGCAAAATAACGCCACGTGATGCCACTGAGGAGAATTATAAAATTGCACGTGGAAAAACCTGTTTTGGCATGTTTAATAGGGTCAAATAGAGCCAAAAGAGATAGGTACTTTCTGCGATGACCCAGCAAAATCATCTGTCACATGAATTTTCCTCTGGTTGACCATCTGAAAGTACATGAAACAGTGTCGTTTTCCCACTTTTCATGAAAACGCGAAAAGTAGTGTTTTTTAAGGTTTCTGAGTTTCACTAAAAACGCGATATCTATCAAAACTATGAGTTTTGCGTTTTCAGTGAAACTCAAAAACCATCGTTTTTTATGTTTTTTGAGTTCCGCGTTGTTTTCAACATCCCTTTCAGAAAAAGGCTCCACAGGCCTACAATGCCCATCTTAATGTATAATGTATTAATATGCATTGTCTAATGTACTAATATGCATTGTATAATGTATAAATATATATTGTGTAAAGTGTTAATATGCATTGTATCATGTATTAATAGGCCTTGTAAAATGTATTAATATGCATTGTCTAATGTATTAATATGCAATGTACAATGTATTAATATGCATTGTCTAATGTATTAATATGCATTGTATAATGTATTAATTTGCATTGTATCATGTATTAATATGCATTGTATCATGTATTAATATGCATTGTATCATGTATTAATATGCATTGTCTAATGTACTAATATGCATTGTATAATGTATTAATATGCATTGTCTAATGTACTAAAATGCATTGTATAATGTATGAATATGCATTGTATAATGTATTAATATGCATTGTATAATGTATTAATATGCATTGTATAATGTATTAATATAAATTGTATAATGTATTAATATGCATTGTCTAATGTATAAATATGCATTGTATAATGTATTAATATGCATTGTATAATGTATTAATATGCCTTGTATAATGTATCAACATGCATTGTAAAATGTATTAATATGCATTGTATACAGTATTAATATGCATTGTGTAATGTATTGAAGTGCATTGTATAATGTATTAATATGCACTGTATAATGTATTTATATGCATTGTATAATGTATTAATATGCACTGTATAATGTATTTATATGCATTGTATAATGTATTAATATGCATTGTATATTGTATTAATATGCATTGTATAATGTATTAATATGCACTGTATAATGTATTTATATGCATTGTATAATGTATTAATATGCACTGTATAATGTATTTATATGCATTGTATAATGTATTAATATGCATTGTATATTGTATTAATATGCATTGTATAATGTATTAATATGCACTGTATAATGTATTTATATGCATTGTATAATGTATTAATATGCACTGTATAATGTATTTATATGCATTGTATAATGTATTAATATGCATTGTATATTGTATTAATATGCATTGTATAATGTATTAATATGCACTGTATAATGTATTTATATGCATTGTATAATGTATTAATATGCACTGTATAATGTATTTATATGCATTGTATAATGTATTAATATGCATTGTATATTGTATTAATATGCATTGTATAATGTATTAATATGCACTGTATAATGTATTTATATGCATTGTATAATGTATTAATATGCACTGTATAATGTATTTATATGCATTGTATAATGTATTTATATGCATTGTATAATGTATTAATATGCATTGTATAATGTATTAATATGCATTGTATAATGTATTAATATGCATTGTATAGTATACCACTGGAATAAAAAAACACAACAACATGTAATGCCATGTGACATGCACTGCCGCAATGCCCTGAAATTTCTGGATCCTTCCTGCGTCGAGCATCTGAAAAGGCGCAAATCGCTGCTTTCGATTGGCCGCCACGCACTCCGGGCAGCGCGCATGGCTTCCCTTCCTTGCTTGGCTGGTGCTGAACTCCAGCGGCCCACCGCCACAGGAATAGCCTCAAGGTCAGTTGGGATCATTGAATCAGCCAGCGTTTTTCGGAATGGAAGAAACATGACAATCTATACACCAACAACCATAGATAAATGTAATTATATGTATATATATATATATATATGGAATAAAACATACATATATTTTTATATATGTAATATAAAATACATACATACATATATATATATATACAATATATATATATTCTCCAGCACATCTCTGTTGAATGGATTTTGAAGCCTCTTGCTAGCCACTCATCCAACTTCAGAAATCGTTTTCAAATGTTTATATGGCGTGCTACCACGTGAAACACGATCCCCCAAAAATGTAGATGGAAATCGACTTTCCCGTTGGATAACTATAGGTTCCGCATTGGGTCCTGGCTGATTGGGACACTGGCTGATTCCGGCACCGCCCGAAAAAGGGCTCATGGACCCATAGATCCTTCAATCGGCAGCTCTCATGCTATAACAGCACCCCTACACTGTTACGATAATGGTCTTCGGCATTCCAGGGAGTTGCGTGGCAACCACCCCTCAGTTGATCTTTGATTTCAATCCAGAGAACCTACTGTATTGATACTTGCAAGGTATGTTTCTTATATCCCGGTGTTGTTGTGGTTATGTTCAAATTATACGTGTATATGCATGTATTTTAATGCATTATAATATATGTATATATATATGTATTGCATCTATGTATGCATATATGGCAGGGATGTATACATGCAATATGCAATGCATATGCACAAAATTGTAAATATATAAATGTGTCTATATATCAAAATATACTTATGTATATAATCTGTATATAATACAATTGTATTACTAGGCATATGCACCAACAAAATATCTAATTATATATATACACATATCCCACATGTGGCTGAACTTCCAACCCACCAATCCGTCGCCATGTTACCCCGCCAAGAAGCAGTGGGTGGGTTCCTCCACTTCCGGGGTCTCGCAGCGTCCCACCTCTTCCAAGGGTTTGAGCTCCCCACAGTACTCGCCTCAGAGCTGCTCAAATTCTCATGGACGGGTTTTTCGAGCAGAAAACGTACATATGTGCCATGGTCAAAAGATGGCATGTAACGGTATAATATACATATATATATATATATATATATTATCATATAGAGGTATATATATATATAGTTTACGGCCATCCATCCCATATTGGGAATCCGGGTAATTTAGGTATATAAATCCCTTTGAATGGATTGATGACCATCCCCCAATGTGGCAAAACAACGCATGTGTTCACCATGGCACGTATGGAGATCCATTAGCACTTAATCGTATATATATATATACATACAGTGTATAACAATTAAAGGACCAGATAACCCCACAAGTCAACTTCTTCCAATAATGAGTTTCAAAGGTTGTAGCGGGGACGGGGAAGGAAGGAAAGACAAAGGAGGTGGTGAAGGATCGAAAAGTTAAAACAGTTGTGTGTGACAAAGTGGCATGTGAAAGTGGCAAGTTAACACAAGCCTATGAAAGAAACAGCTCGGAACAGAAAACATGTCGGAGACGCAGCGAGGTAAACCGGCAAAGAGTTTCGGGCCAAAACGACCAGAGCAGCAATAGATGATCCGATGACTGCATCTTTGAATGCAAATGACCAATCTAACTTGACTGACTAGTTGTAGTTGTGGTTGTAGTGGAGTTGTGTGTGACAAAGTTGTGTGTGACAAAGTTGTGTGGGAAAGATGGTGCGTATGACTGCATCTTTGAATGCAAATGACCAATCTAATCTTACAGGACTGACTAGTTGTAGTTGTGGTTGTAGTGGAGTTGTGTGTGACAAAGTTGTGTGTGACAAAGTTGTGTGCGACAGAGTTGTGTGGGAAAGATGGTGCGTGACAAAGTTGTGTGTGAAAGATGGTATGCGACAAAGTTTTGTGAAAGATGGTGTGTGAGATTGTCCCACGCCTGCCACGCAAAACGATGGTAGATGTGAGTTTGTGCCACGTCTGCCACGCAAAACGAACGTGGATGTGAGATTGTGCCACGCCTGCCACGCAAAGTGCCGCGGCGTCAGGGGGCGACCAAACCAAGACCAAGCGCGCCGCCCAGTGACATCAGTGCGACGCCTGCCACGCAAAACGATGGTAGATGTGAGTTTGTGCCACGCCTGCCACGCAAAACGAACGTGGATGTGAGATTGTGCCACGCCTGCCACGCAAAGTGCCGCGGCGTCACGGGCGACCAAACCAGACCAAGCGCGCCACCCAGTGCCATCAGTGCCACGCCTGCCACGCCTGCCACGCAAAACGATGGTAGATGTGAGTTTGTGCCACGCCTGCCACGCAAAACGAACGTGGATGTGAGATTGTGCCACGCCTGCCACGCAAAGTGCCGCGGCGTCACGGGCGACCCAGTGCCATCAGTGCCACGCCTGCCACGCAAAACGATGGTAGATGTGAGTTTGTGCGACGCCTGCCACGCAAAACGAACGTGGATGCGAGATTGTGCCACGCCTGCCACGCAAAGTGCCGCAAAACGATGGTAGATGTGAGTTAGTGCAAAACGATGGTAGATGTGAGTTTGTGTTATGTATGTGACAGATGGTATGTGACAAAGTTATGTGTTAAGTGCGTGTACGTGAAAGATGGTATGTGACAAAGCTGTGTGTTAAGTTGTGTATGTGAAGTTATTGTATGTGAAAGATGGTCTGTGACAAAGTTATGTGTGAAGTTATTGTGTATATGACAGATGATATGTGACAAAGTTGAAGTTATTGTATGTGAAAGATGGTCTGTGACAAAGTTGTGTGTTAAGTTTGTGTATGTGAAAGACGGTATGTGACAAAGTTGTGTGTTAAGTTTGTGTATGTGAAGTTATGGAAAGATGGTATGTGACAAAGTTGTATGTTAAGTTTATGTATGTGAAAGTTTGTATGTGAAAGATGGTATGTGACAAAGTTGTGTGTTAAGTTTGTGTGTGTAAGAGATGGTATGTGACAAAGTTGTGTGTGTGAGTGTGGGGAGGAGGCAACCCGGGATACAGAATCAAAAACAAGAACCCCACAAAAGTTGTGGGGAAAAAGGGACCATATGACACATAGATACACATAGTCATAGCACTGTGACCATTAAGACGCCTCAAGATCCATCAACAAGATGAGAAGCGTGAGTAAACACGTGTAAAACATGTATTGTAGAAACAAAACATATGGATTCACGAAAACAAAAGCCAAAAACACCGTGGACACTGTTGAACAGAGCTTTCATCAACATCAGGATGAATGACAAGAACAAACCCGGTACATGCAACATGTGTTTTTCACATTTCATCCCAGTTGACCTGCATATTTGGTCAGGTCTTATGCGGTGAAAGGACATTCACAAAAGTTGTCTCGTATTGAGATTAACACATCATGGGCATTGGTTAAACTTGGACGCTTCCAAAGTTGGATGTCTAGTGTTCTGTAGAAGCATGACCAACATCCAACCATCAGGGCCTTGCCCGTCGGTGAGAAGAAAGCAACTGTCACAACTGTGGTTTTCAAGAATGGCACATGCCCGGACCGTTGGATTCTGCCCAAACCGCATACAGTGTGGAAAAAACATGGCTAACAAGTACTGGCTACTGTTAGTTGTTCCTTTTGTTGCTCCCTGTGTAGCTGAAAAAGATAGACCCACTTCGGCTGTGGGACAAAACCCTGCGGGCCCGGTTCACTTCAAAATGGCTGATGGATGTTGACCCCCACCATCACCTCAACAATTATGAGAAAAATATGGGATGTTAACTCATCCCCAGCCATCAGACCCATCTACGGCAGCGAACTCCGCAGAAACAGCGACGAGTGGCAAATGCCATGCAAATCCATCCCGTGGGCCTCCGTCACAGTCATTCCAGCTGCCAGGGTGCCGGGTCTTAAGCCCAACATAGCGTGGAGATAGTGGAGGTGGAGATCGTCCAGCAGGCAGGAAATGATGTGCAGGTTTGATGCTAATGGACTTGATGCTAATGTCAATGTGATGTTTATTGGTTTGGTCATTCACCAGTTCTATTTGGGTACGTCTCAAAGTTACTGAACCACATTGAACCCGACAGTGGATGCTTATTTTGTTGACTGGACATGATCATTTCAATCATTTCCGTCCTGCAGTCCCCATCCCATCGCGGTGTCGCCCTGTGCCCATCGAGCTGCGAAGCTTGATCAAAAGCCACACATAGACAACCCGCCGGACCGGAAACCGTGCTCATCGGTGTGGACATTTTGTCCAAAAAGGGTGATTTTACCACAGTGCCGAGTTGATTTCTGATGTTGGAAACCTTGCAAAATCTGAGGCGCGTTTTTTGCCTTTTCACCGTCATCGCTGCAATGCATGCACCGTTTTCAGCTGGCAGTCAGCATTCTTGTGAATGCATCTCCATTGCCAAGCTCTAGCATACACCATCAAGAGATCTATGCAGCGTAGTAACAAGTAACGTAGCAACGATCCCAGAGATCTCTGCAGCGTAGCAAACTATAATGTACGAAGTACAAGGAACGTTGACATGCCCCCCCACCCCACCCCACCCCACCCCACCCCATCAGCAGCGTAGAATCATGTCACGTAGCAACAACACCAGAGATCTCTGCAGCGTAGTAACAAGTAACGTAGCAACGATCCCAGAGATCTCTGCAGCGCAGCAAAAACTATAATGTACGAAGTACAAGGAACGTTGACATGCCCCCCCACCCCACCCCAACCTAACCTCCGAAATTGCGTTTTTCAAAAACGTGCGTTTTACGAGCACGGTTTTGGGTCCGCAGGCATAAACAAGCATGTGCACACAAACACAGATTCATCTCTACACACCGCATATAGTGCAATGATATATAATGGAGCATACATATATATATATATATAATACATATAATACATATATATATGTTGTTGTTTTGTGAACTCCTAAGCCACCTGCATGTGATGGTATTGGATGTTCAGTACAATGCGTTGTCTGCCAGGGTATCATTCAATGTGGGTTACTCCATCATCTCTGAAGGTGTGGCTCAGGTGCAACACAGCGAGGGCTTGGGTAGCCCCTGGTCGGATCTGTGTGTCCGTGTTGGTAGCCATAAAAGGCGTGGCGCCTTGCTTTGCGGCTCGGGAGGGCCTTGGTGTTTCTTTGGTTGGAGGAGGAAAGGGAATAGCCAAGGGGCCCCTACCAGTTCTACACTGGTAGCGGAGCTACCGCAGCTGGAGGTGGAAACCGGACAGGCCGTTTGCCTCTGGAAGCCGGTGATCCAGGATGCCAGGTGATGGAGACGATCCAATGGGGTCTGGTCCGACTTCGGCTATGAGCTCAAGTGGCACAGGCCATACAGCTTTGTCGCATTTGCCCTGGAACATGATACCGAGCTTCAAACCAGGTGAAACGGATATCAACGAGTACTCCAAAAAGCTCGAGTTCCTTGCAGGATTGTGGCCACAAGAGCATTTAGCTTTGTTGGCACCTCGTGCAGCGATGTTATGTGAAGGGAGCTCCTTCAAGAAGGTTATGCGGATTGACACCACGAAGCTCAAGGTGAATTCCATCGAGGGCGTGAAGCTCCTTGTGACCTCGCTTGGAGGGATTTGGGGAAAGAGCAAGCTGGAGGAAAAGTTCGAGCGTTTTGAGAGAGCGATTTTTTCCACAACACAGAGAACAGATGAAACACATGAAAGTTATTTAGCACGGCATGACTTCCAGTTTGAAGAGTTGTTACAGATGGGTGTGGGAATTCCTGAGGTCAGAGCCTACATTCTGTTACGAAATTCTGGATTGAATGCTGATGACAAAAAGAAACTGATTGTGGATTCAAAAGGGGCATTAGAGTATGATGCCATCGTATCAGCTTTGAAGTTGTTGGGATCCCGCTTTTTCAATGAGATTCAGTCGGGCTCCAAGAATGTTTCCCGGTCCAAGACCTATGATGTCAATGCAGTGTTAGAGGATGACCTTCCTACCTATGTCACTGAAGAGGAACAAGCCTATGTAGGTGACTCTTGGGATGATGGTGAAACTGTGTATGACGAATCCGACCCTGATGCGGTGATTTGCATGCAGTTTGAAGATAGTATCCTCGAAGCACTTCAGGGTGACATGGAATTGGCAGCCTGTTACAACACTTATGTAGATGCCAGGAAGCGTTTGTCAGACCGCAACAAAAATCGAGGTTTCTGGCAGTCCAAAGGGTCCAGCACTGGGTTCAAGGGCAAGGGAAAATCCAAGTCCAAGGGATTCTCCCGGTTCAGAAAACCTCTGGCGCAGAGGATACTTGAGTCAGAGTGTCGCCGATGCGGCCAAAAGGGCCACTGGAAAGCAGAGTGTCCATTGAATCGCAACAGCACTCAGGGTCAAGCCAGTACTTCAGGTTCCAAGGATTCTGCTTTTGCTGGAACGGTGGTGATGATGGCCGAAGACACTAACTTCGACAATGACATGATCCTCGTGGATTCCCAGGGTGAAAACGTTTCTCACATGCATGAAGTTGTGAACCTTACTCAATCAGTTTGTTGTTTTGGAATGAATGAAGAACCCCAGAATGTGACATGTTCCACTCTAACGGATCCTCTCCTCACCAGGTTTGTGACAGCATTGAAGAACCGCCTGAGCCCTCAGCTGAAGATTGCACCTGCAACGCAGCCGACAGGGATCCAATTGCGATCCATTGCATCCGAGACTCATGAGGGTCTATTTCTCAGAGAGGTCCAACCGAGACCAACTGCCGAAACAATGTTTGTGAGTCATGGGCCATTTGGCATTGTTGATTTAGGTGCCAGTCAAACAGTCATAGGAAACCAACAGGTGTCAGAGTTGCTTGACCATTTGCCGCCGAAAGTGCGACAGAAAGTCCAAAGGGTCCCATGCAATACAGTTTTCCGTTTTGGAAATAGCAGCACAGTCGAGTGTCACGAAGCCCTGTTGGTGCCTTTGTCCCGTTGGAATGTCAAAGTGTGCATTGTCCAGTCTAAGACGCCATTTCTGATATCCAATAATGTCTTTCGCACCTTGGGGGCTCAAATTGACACCGCCGAAGACACGATCACTTTTGCCAAGATCGGTGTCAAAATGCCGCTGTCTCTCACCACCAAGAAACTGTATCTGCTGGATTTTTGTGAACTCGTTCGACAGGTTTCCATGCAGCAGGCCACAAGGTATCAGGTTAATTAGTCTTCCGCATGGGGATGTCATGTGTTCAGTGAACTCAGAAAACGTCGAGCCTCTCATGACACCGGATTCTTCAACCACCTTGCAGACTTGTGCGTTCAAGCAGGGCACTCCCGTCTCTGACACACCCGCACTCACGCGTGTTGATCGTCATGGCCCAGTCGACCTTGGCAGATCGCCTCCATGCAGTGACCAGCCAGAAGAACTCAGGAGAGTTCATGAAGATGACATACGAACAGCTGGCCAACCAAAGGATCTCCTTTGGAGAGGCCAAACTGGGGCAGAAATTCCAAGATGTGGTTCAGCAAGACCCAAAGTATGCGACATGGTTCATCAAGAAGTACGAGACGTCACAGAAGCCAGCCCATCAGTCCTTTGTCCACTTCATCAGCCAGTATGTGGAACGTCAGGAGATGCAGCTGGAAGCCGAGCCGTTGGCTCAGCCAAACAAGTACGAGTTGAAAGCCAAGGCCAAAGCCCAACCCATGAGGGTCCAATACCCGGAGACACCGGACAATGCCAGTCAGGCAAGCTGGTCAGAGGAAGACGTGTCAAAGCCCTGGAGCGTGATCCAAGAGGATACCTCACAGAGAATCCAAGAAGAAGTGATGCACCAGAACGGCCGAATCGAGAACATGGAGAACGCCCTCCAGCAGATCACTCACCAACTGCAAGCCCTGACGCATGCGATGCTGAATCAGGGCAATGCCCCGAAGTAGTGATCCAGCCTGAAGAAGGACATGTGATGAGGTCCCTCATGTGTGATGATCAGGGTAAATTGCAACTCCATGAAAAACCGCATGAGATCGTGGATGTCAATTATTTTCTGATTTGGTTCAACAAGAGGCTGGGTTTTCCAACAGGGTTTATCGAGAAATGTGGGACTATTTTCAGAAAAGATTTCCACACTATTCTTTGGATGACATGACGCACCACTGGCAACAGTCAAGATCTCATGTCCTGGAAGTCTACTGCTCTGAGCAAAGCCAGCTGACACGACAGGGGGAAACTCTGGGCATGATCACTTTCAGGTTCGGCCTACGACATGGTGATTTAGCAACTTTTTCAGGACGATGTCGATTGTATGACCTTATCTGGCAAATACGACCCCGTCATATCTGGGTCTCTCACAAGTGTGGTCCTTGGAGCAATTGGAATCGACTAAATGCCATGAAGTCCATGAAATGTGCTCAACAGATAGATCATGACAGGCGTGCCGAGAGTGTCCTCAAGCTTTGCGATGCCCTGTTCCGTCTTCAAGACTGGCGTGGTGACGAATTCCATTTTCATTTGGAACAACCACTGGGATCTGAGTTGATTTACCAACATGACATGGATAACATTGTTCGACATACTCTCAGGGTCACATGTGACATGTGCACAGCCGGAAACCTAAAGCATCCTGAGAGTCAACATTGGCTTCGCAAACGCACTCAGATCTGGACCACCTCCCAGATTCTTTGGCGAATGCTTGAACAATTTCAGTGCGTTGGAAATCATTCCCATGATCAAGTAGCGGGGTCTTGCAAAGTAGCTGGGTGGGGTAGGATGTCAGTTACCAAATACACAGAGCTGTATACTGCCTTGTTTGGTAAGAGGCTATGCCGAGCAATGCTATGTAGTTGTCAAGTGCGAGAGAAAGTACATGGAACCAATGAAGTGTTCACGACCACCACCACAAGCCATGCCCGAGAAGACCCTGAACCCAAGCGCAGGAGGCTTGCCGGCAAGTTCCATCCGGAACACCTGTATATAGACCCAGCCGAGCCAAGTGAGGCCAGTTCCAGTCAGAGACCGTCCCATGTTCCCACGAACACGTCATCCAAGTCAGACATGTTGTCTCAAGTCTGTGAAGTACTCCAAATGGCTGAAAAATGCACGCCCCGTGTAGGCAAGGTGATCCTTCACGATGGTCCAGTGTTTGACAAAATCCAAGAGATGTTTCCTGACAAAGAAGTCAAAGCCATTGATGTTTGCAGAGGTATCAACCGCATGAGAACATGTTCAGTAGGAGGCCGGGGTTTTGCACCATTCCGTAGAATGCTGGGAAAACGACGTTCTGATTTGGAAGTGTTCATGGACGAAAGCTGGGAAGAATGGGAGAAACTGTCGCACCGACAACAGATTCGTGCATCGATCCCGGCAAAGCTCATGATGACCGTCTTTGCATCCAATAAGCGGTTAGCCCAGGAATCTTTGGAGATGCCTGATGCAAAGGAGCCCCGAGTAGCATCCGAAATAACAGATCCAAGATCAGAAGCTAGCAGTGAACCAGAGCAATCAGAACCCCAACATTCAACCACAGGTCCCCCAGTGCAGACTTCAGGGACATACCAAAGTTCAAGTATTTCCCATGGTCCTTTGTTTCAACAACTCCCAACCTATACTCAAAATCAAATTCGAAAAATACATCAAAATCTTGGACACCCTGACATGAGGATACTACAGATGGCTCTCCGCCGGAATGACTGGTCAGAAACGGAAATCCGTGGCTGCGCCGATTTTGTATGCCCTACGTGCCATGAGCAACAACAACCCAAGCTTGCCCGACCCGGGAAACTGAAAGTTCCCATGGATTTCAATGATCACATTTCGTTTGATGGTGCAGAATGGAAAGACAATCAGGGTAAGACACATGGCTGGAGGACCGTGAGACCACAGGATGATACATCTCTGGGGGAGAATTCCAAAGAAGAGAAAACTGGAGAAACAATGTTCACAGCCACTTACCCCAACCTGAACCATGGACAGGTAAGACCATTTTTTTCATCCACCCTTCTTGGAACCAAGAGCCATTGTCATGCCTTACAACCACCAAGAACCTCATCACCGAACATACCGTACTCCATGCAGAAATACAAATGGGCTTAGATGATTTCCAGAAGTGTTTGGGTAGAACCTATGAATACCAAGAAAATTACCTTGCATCCACTGCTAAGCGCCAGAAGATTGAAGTCAAAACCAAAGACCTGACACCGGAGGAAGCTAAGCTGTTTGCCAAAGCGAAAGACAAAGAGCTAGACTCCTGGCTTGCCACAGACACAGTGCGAAAAATTCTGCGTCACCAAGTCCCCGAAGGCCAACTATTGAGATCACGCTGGGTGTTAACCTGGAAAACCTTGGATGAGCAAGAACAAAAAGAACTGAATATGACCAAGAAACCAAAAGCCAGATTAGTCATTTTGGGCTATGAGGATCCGCTCATCGACGCCTTGCCCCGTGATTCCCCAACACTTGGCCGTGACAGCAGAATGTTAGCCCTGCAGTGTATTGCCAGCCACCGGTGGTCTGTCAGATCGTTCGATATCCGAACGGCGTTTCTCAGAGGTAGCAGGCAAGATGACAGAATTCTTGGGATCGAACCCCCTGCCGAACTTCGCTCCAAAATGAATCTCAAACCCAACGAAGTTTGTGAACTTCTTAAAGGGGCCTATGGACTCATCAATGCACCTTTGTTGTGGTACTGCGAACTGAAAGCTGCTCTCCTCAGTCTAGGATTCATAGTGTCTCCCATGGATCCCTGCCTGTTTGTATTGCCCAAGCACAAGTCCGATGATGATTCCCCAAGTCATATCCATGGCATTCTTGGAATACATGTAGATGATGGGTTAGGAGGAGGAGATGCGACCTTCAATCTAGCAATCCAAAAACTTGAAAAGAGATTCCCTTTTGGAAGCCAAAGAACTGGAAATTTCACTTTCACCGGTATTCACATTCATCAAGACCACAATGGAGACATTTCCCTTGACCAACAAGACTACATTAACGACATACCACCAATAGACATTCCCCGTGATAGACGAAAAACACCTGAAGCAAAGATCAATAATGAAGAACTCCAAAAGCTTAGAGGACTTATTGGAAGCCTTCAATATGCCGCCACCAATACCAGACCAGATCTATCATGTAAACTTAGTCTGTTACAGGCAAAAGTAACCTGTGCCACAATCAATGACTTGCTGCAAGGGAACAGAATCTTGAATGAGGCAAAACGCTTCTCAGAAACGGCCATTCGCGTTCAAGCACTGCCGTTGCAAGAGCTCAGATTCCTATCCTTCTCAGATGCTGCCTTTGCCACGAAGGAAAAAGCTCACTCTCAGAAAGGTTGCGTGATACTTGCCACCACCGAAACCATTGACAAGACACAGTCCGCTTTGGTCAGTCCCCTGTTGTGGTTCTCCAAAAAGATCAATAGAGTGGTGTCAAGCACGCTTGCGTCCGAGACGTTTGCATTGTCAGGGGCACTTGATTTGCTTAGTTGGACTAGAGTTCATTGGGCCTGGCTGCTCAATCCCAACTTGGAATGGAAAAATCCTGAAGCGACTTTGAAGAAACTTCCTAGTGCATTCGCTGTTGTTGACTGCAAGAGCCTTTTTGATCTCCTTCAGAAAACGTCAGTTCCCCAATGTTCAGAATATCGCACGATGCTTGAAGCCCTAGTGGCGAAAGAGCGCCTGAAGGAGGGTGTTATAATTAAATGGGTGCATAGCGCAGCTCAGATGGCAGATTCTCTCACGAAGGACATGGACACTACTGTGCTTCGTTCATTCCTCTCTAAGGGAAAATGTATTCTTCACGATGTGGATGAAATACTCAAACAGAGAGCCGATAAGAAGGTTAGGCAACAGTGGTACCAAACCACCAGCGACAGTCCCGTGGAGTCTGCCCTGCATGTTTTTGCTTGTATTTTGAATACACCTGATGGAACAGAATAGATTCCGAAGTGCGTCTTGTTCTGCGAAGCCGTCAGCAGTTCTTCGAGACCCAGGCTGCCCAAATGAGACTGGAAATCCAAGAATCAAGTTAAGCAGAGAAAGAAGAGAATTTTTTAGGAGTGTTGTTTTGTGAACTCCTAAGCCACCTGCATGTGATGGTATTGGATGTTCAGTACAATGCGTTGTCTGCCAGGGTATCATTCAATGTGGGTTACTCCATCATCTCTGAAGGTGTGGCTCAGGTGCAACACAGCGAGGGCTTGGGTAGCCCCTGGTCGGATCTGTGTGTCCGTGTTGGTAGCCATAAAAGGCGTGGCGCCTTGCTTTGCGGCTCGGGAGGGCCTTGGTGTTTCTTTGGTTGGAGGAGGAAAGGGAATAGCCAAGGGGCCCCTACCAGTTCTACAATATGTATGTATACATGTAATTATTAAAATATCTATCTATCTATCTATCTATCTTTCTATCTATCTATCTATCTGTCTGTCTACAGTGTGTCCATTGTCCGGGCAAATAGTAGCTGAATGTAGTTAATAAGGGTTATGGATGGTTATAGTTTCACCGTTTCATTTTTGGTAGGAAGATCACATCCAATTAAATTGAGGTGTCTTTCTGAATCATGTCCCCAAAACCATATCACCAAACAAAATGGAACATCGATAGGATGTCGCACAGGAGCCAGATGGTATTGATCATGTGATGGGAAAATAGATTGAGTACTGTACTTCGAGTTTTCCAGCCCATCCATGGTAGGCCGCCCCACATTGTTGGCTGCTATTGCTACAAGACTTTGCCCGGCCGTGGGTTCTTTGGGCAGGGCCAAGAGTCCGCAGCATTTGTAGGAGCCCAACCTGGCTATGGCCCAGGGGCGCCTTGGTAGCTTTTGGGCTGGAGTCCAATACACGCGCACACACACACACACATATATATATATATATATATGTGTGTGTATATATATATGTGTGTATATATATATATATGTGTGTATATATAAATATAAATATATATATATATATGTCTACCTAGTTTAGCTTGCATGCCACCAATCAAACTGGGTGCCAGAGTATGCGCCAGAAAGAAAGGGGAACCTATTTGGGGATGGATCAGCCACATGACTCACAGACATGCTGGCCTGTTCCAAGCCCCCACTTTATGGAGATCATCTGACAGGATGCTTGCCGGGCAGCTACGGAAGTACCACAATAGAATAGGAAGGAGGGATTGGTAGCCAATCATGACAAGAGAAAATCATCTGGCGTGGCATATGTCTAAATTGTTCTGATTACATTAGGGCAACCGTACTTATATGAAACACATATCAAATATTCAAATGCTCAGCAGCGACACAAAGCACAGCAGGGTCAGGGCCATTCATGGATTTTCAATTTACACAACTATATACAGTATATAAAAGGTGGTGCCCCCCACATAAATAAATATATATATATATATATACACGCCACATATAAATATATATATATATACGCCACACACACACATATATATATATATATATCCATATGCAGTTTACAACCTCATCTGTATGGATATATGTGCCATAAACCCGGCCTCTGTAGGCGCTTGATGTCATCCGAGGTATCCTCGCAGGGGCTGACGTGGAGCTACGGGTGGATACCTATGGGGGGTTTCACAAATGAGGGTACCCCAATAGCAGGATGGTTTATTTCATGGAAAACCCATGAAAATAAAAAATGATGATTTAGGATGATTTAGGGGCACATGACTTCGGAAACCAACCCCCCAAGTGGGAAAATACTGAAGAAATGGAAGAATTCCCGAAATATTGAACTCCAGAATTGGATAGATCACTGATCACTACGAAGAATGATAAACCCGATCCATCTTTGACTGTTTCCTTGGCCAGGAGTTCTATATAATGGGATGGGACATCATCGAAGGGACACTCCATCGACCCTATCTAGCTGGGGACTGGATGGCTAATAATCTCTGGCAGCTATTCTGGGCATGGGCTGGGCCTGCCTGACCCAATTCTACCCAAAGATCACCTCGGTAAACGCATCAGCTTTCACGGAGAAATTCAGGCGATCGACACTTGCAACGACATTCTTCAGCAACAATTGCAGGGCCATCTGAAGCTGATCTTTTATGTCACTTTATATGATTGTATGGGGGGTTCCCAAAATGGAGGGAACCCTAAGTCATCCGTTTCACAGGATTTTCCATTGACATTTATAAACCATCCAGTTTTTGGGGTACCTCCATTGTATGAAACTCCATATCCTTGGAATCTCTATTTTAACCCGGTCTGCAGCGCCTGCAGGTGCAGTTGAAAGCGATACACCGCCAAGCGCGTGGTGGTTGCCAGCGCCACTGCACCATCGAGGCATAGAAATTGGGCGTCCTGGGGTGCGGTGGTGCGATGCATGGTGCGAACCGCTGTGGTGACACGATGTGGGAATGCTTCTAAACATGTTTAAAATTGTTTTCAATTTTATTCAAATTCAACTTTCCACCCTCTTCGAATGGTGGGAATTTCATGATACAGCTTAATTGATCACTCTTTTAATCATTCCAGATTGGAAAGGGAAAACACTTATATCCGCCGACCCCGGCAGACGCAAGGGGGAGCGCGCCAGGGAATAATACTTTTGACTCTTGTTTCGGACTACTACTACTACTACTACTACTACTACTACTACTACTACTACTATTTAAAGGTAGCCAAACTTCATATTCATAGCAGCAGCAAGAGGAAAAAGCCGCCAAAATCATCATTTTCTATGGGTTTCAGAAGTTACGTTAGGCATTTTGGGGGTGCAATTTTGGGGCTTCTCCGTCCTTCAGAGGCATGGTGTTTCGCCCCCGGGAGGTGATTTTTTCCATGGTGTTTTCCTATTTGGGGACCGGATGTAAGGTAGCTACTGTTCATGGCAGCAGCAAGAGGAAAAAGGAGCCAAAAGCATCATTGTCTATGGGTTTCAGAAGCCACGTTAGGCATTTTCGGGGTGCAATTTTGGGGCTTCTCCGTCCTTCAGAGGCATGGTGTTTCGCCCCCGGGAGGTGATTTTTTCCATGGTGTTTTCCTATTTGGGGACCGGATGTAAAGGTAGCTAAAATTCATGGCAGCAGCAAGAGGAAAAAGGAGCCAAAAGCATCATTTTTTATGGGTTTCAGAAGTCACGTTAGGCATTTTCGGGGTGCAATTTTGGAGCTTCTCCGTCCTTCAGAGGCATGGTGTTTCGCCCCCGGGAGGTGATTTTTTTCATTGTCTTTTCCTATTTGGGGACCGGATGTAAAGGTAGCTAAAATTCATGGCAGCAGCAAGAGGAAAAAGGAGCCAAAAGCATCATTTTCTATGGGTTTCAGAAGGGACGTTAGGCAGTTTTGGGGCTCGATTTTGGCGCCGTTCCGTCCTTCAGGGCCACTGTGTTTCCCTGTCCGGCAGCGTGCGTTTTCAGCTTCGGGAGGAAGAGCAGCAGCAGCAACAGGAGCAGCAGGAGGGTTCTATGTCTCACTATGTCTCATTAATGTACAAACAGCGGTACAAAAAATTGTCGAAAACTATTGTTTTTCTAGGGTTTCAGAAGGGACGTTAGGCAGTTTTTGGGCTCGATTTTGGCGCCGTTCCGTCCTTCAGAGCCACTGTGTTTCCCTGTCCGGCAGCGTGCGTTTTCAGCTTCGGGAGGAAGAGCAGCAGCAGCAACAGGAGCAGCACGAGGGTTCTATGTCTCACTATATGTCTCATTGTACAAACAGCGGTACAAAAAATAGTCGAAAACTATTGTTTTTCTAGGGTTTCAGAAGGGACATTAGGCAGTTTTGGGGCTCGATTTTGGCGCTGTTCCGTCTTTCAGGGCCACTGTGTTTCCCTGTCCGGCAGCGTACGTTTTCAGCTTCGGGAGGAAGAGCAGCAGCAGCAACAGGAGCAGCAGGAGGGTTCTCTGTCTCACTATGTCTCATTGCACAAACAGCGGTACAAAAGATGGTCGAAAACTATTGTTTTTCTAGGGTTTCAGAAGGGACGTTAGGCAGTTTTGGGGCTCGATTTTGGCGCCGTTCCGTCCTTCAGAGCCACTGTGTTTCCCTGTCTGGCAGCGTGCTTTTTCAGCTTCGGGAGGAAGAGCAGCAGCAGCAACAGGAGCAGCAGGAGGGTTCTATGTCTCACTATGTCTCATTGTACAAACAGCGGTACAAAAAATAGTCGAAAACTATTGCGTTATTGTTTTTCTAGGGTTTCAAAAGGGACGTTAGGCAGTTTTTGGGCTCGATTTTGGCGCTGTTCCGTCCTTCAGGGCCACTGTGTTTCCCTGTCCGGCAGCGTGCGTATTCAGCTTCGGGAGGAAGAGCAGCAGCAGCAACAGGAGCAGCAGGAGGGTTCTATGTCTCACTATGTCTCATTGTACAAACAGCGGTACAAAAACTGGTCGAAAACTATTGTTTTTCTAGGGTTTCAGAAGGGACGTTAGGCAGTTTTTGGGCTCGATTTTGGCGGGGGCCACTGTGTTTCCCTGTCCGGCAGCGTGCGTTTTCAGCTTCGGGAGGAAGAGCAGCAGCAGCAACAGGAGCAGCAGGAGGGTTCTATGTCTCACTATGTCTCATTGTACAAACAGCGGTACAAAAAATAGTCGAAAACTATTGTTTTTCTAGGGTTTCAGAAGGGACATTAGGCAGTTTTGGGGCTCGATTTTGGCGCTGTTCCGTCCTTCAGGGCCACTGTGTTTCCCTGTCCGGCAGCGTACGTTTTCAGCTTCGGGAGGAAGAGCAGCAGCAGCAACAGGAGCAGCAGGAGGGTTCTCTGTCTCACTATGTCTCATTGTACAAACAGCGGTACAAAAGATGGTCGAAAACTATTGTTTTTCTAGGGTTTCAGAAGGGACGTTAGGCAGTTTTGGGGCTCGATTTTGGCGCCGTTCCGTCCTTCAGAGCCACTGTGTTTCCCTGTCCGGCAGCGTGCTTTTTCAGCTTCGGGAGGAAGAGCAGCAGCAGCAACAGGAGCAGCAGGAGGGTTCTATGTCTCACTATGTCTCATTGTACAAACAGCGGTACAAAAAATGGTCAAAAACTATTGTTTTTCTAGGGTTTCAGAAGGGACGTTAGGCAGTTTTTGGGTTCGATTTTGGCGCTGTTCCGTCCTTCAGGGCCACTGTGTTTCCCTGTCCGGCAGCGTGCGTTTTCAGCTTCGGGAGGAAGAGCAGCAGCAGCAACAGGAGCAGCAGGAGGGTTCTATGTCTCACTATATCTCATTGTACAAACAGCGGTACCAAAAATGGTCGAAAACTATTGTTTTTCTAGGGTTTCAGAAGGGACGTTAGGCAGTTTTTGGGCTCGATTTTGGCGCCGTTCCGTCCTTCAGGGCCACTGTGTTTCCCTGTCCGGCAGCGTGCGTTTTCAGCTTCGGGAGGAAGAGCAGCAGCAGCAACAGGAGCAGCAGGAGGGTTCTATGTCTCATTGTACAAACAGCGGTACAAAAACTGGTCGAAAACTATTGTTTTTCTAGGGTTTCAGAAGGGACGTTAGGCAGTTTTTGGGCTCGATTTTGGCGCCGTTCCGTCCTTCAGGGCCACTGTGTTTCCCTGTCCGGCAGCGTGCGTTTTCAGCTTCGGGAGGAAGAGCAGCAGCAGCAACAGGAGCAGCAGGAGGGTTCTATGTCTCACTATGTCTCATTGTACAAACAGCGGTACAAAAAATGGTCGAAAACTATTGTGTTATTGTTTTTCTAGGGTTCAGAAGGGACGTTAGGCAGTTTTTGGGCTCGATTTTGGCGCTGTTCCGTCCTTCAGGGCCAATGTGTTTCCCTGTCCGGCAGCGTCCGTTCTCAGCTTCGGGAGGAAGAGCAGCAGCAGCAACAGGAGCAGCAGGAGGGTTCTATGTCTCACTATGTCTCATTGTGCAAACAGCGGTACAAAAATGGTCGAAAACTATTGTTTTTCTAGGGTTTCAGAAGGGACGTTAGGCAGTTTTTGGGGCTCGATTTTGGCGCTGTTCCGTCCTTCAGGGCCACTGTGTTTCCCTGTCCGGCAGCGTGCGTTTTCAGCTTCGGGAGGAAGAGCAGCAGCAGCAACAGGAGCAGCAGGAGGGTTCTCTGTCTCACTATGTCTCATTGTACAAACAGCGGTACAAAAACTGGTCGAAAACTATTGTTTTTCTAGGGTTTCAGAAGGGACGTTAGGCAGTTTTGGGGCTCGATTTTGGCGCCGTTCCGTCCTTCAGGGCCACTGTGTTTCCCTGTCCGGCAGCGTGCGTTCTCAGCTTCGGGAGGAAGAGCAGCAGCAGCAACAGAAGCAGCAGGAGGGTTCTATGTCTCACTATGTCTCATTGTACAAACAGCGGTACAAAAAATGGTCAAAAACTATTGTTTTTCTACGTAGCGTTTCAGAAGGGACGTTAGGCAGTTTTTGGGCTCGATTTTGGCGCTGTTCCGTCCTTCAGGGCCACTGTGTTTCCCTGTCCGGCAGCGTGCGTTTTCAGCTTCGGGAGGAAGAGCAGCAGCAGCAACAGGAGCAGTGTCTCACTATGTCTCATTTTACAAAAAGTGGTGCAAAAAACTGGTCGAAAACTATTGTTTTTCTAGGGTTTCAGAAGGAACTTTAGGCAGTTTTTGGTTTCGATTTTGGCACTGTTCCGTGCTTCAGGGCCACTGTGTTTCCCTGTCCGGCCGGCAGGGCGCGTTTTGAGCTTCGGGAGGAAGAGCAGCAGCAGCAACAGGAGCAACAGGATCAACAGCAGCCGCAACCGCAGCAGGAGCAGCGCAGCACTTCTTCATCATCAGCAGCAGTAGCAGCAACAACAACAACAACACCAACACCAACACCAACACCATCAACAACAACAACAACAACAAGAACAAGAACAAGAACAACAACAACAACAACAACAACAACACCAACACCAACACCAACAACAACAACAACAACAACAACAACAAGAACAAGAACAAGAACAACAACAACAACAACAACAACAACACCAACACCAACACCAACAACAACAACAACAGCAACAAGAAGAAGAACAAGTAGAACAAAAACTGGGCGCTGAAGGAAACTGCACCTTATTCCTCAGCTCGTTTGCCACTCTGTCTGCGGGCACGCGCGACCATTCGGTTGTTTATGCTTGCTCTGAATTCGCCCCGCTTCTTTGCTGCTGTGGACACAAGTTCCGCAAGTTGGGCATGTGTGCGCATACCGCATGGTCGGACGGAGGCTACTGTTTTCGACACGGAACTGCTTCCCACAAACGTGACGGTGATTAATGTTTCCAGAAGCTATGGAGGAAGTTACCTCATTTACCTCCCCGTTACAAAAAGGACACGCGTATACATACTCCGGCGACTTTTGGCGTGACGCCGGCGGAGCCTGCGCTACGCAATCACTTTTGTTTGCATCCGTCGCACTCCTCGCTTGGAAATGCTTTACGCGACTTTGA